TTGAAATTCCTCTAGAAATTTGACTGATACAAGAGAAATGTTGAGTAGATTCAATTCAAGGACAAAAGCACATTGTTAGTCATTAAAACATCTTTTAAATTTTCACTTGAGATTGGTGGCTTCATCTCACATTGGAAGAGGGTTTGAGGGAGTCTTTTTCTCCCCTCCCCCTTCTTTTCTTTTCTTTTTATGTTTTAAATGTACATCTACTACAATGACAAGTTAAACATCATATTGTACTTCTGTGTTTTATTTATATGTTTACTTATTTGAAGGCATTAAAATCAATTGTTGCTGTTCCTTCATTCTTTTTCCCCTTGGCTGGGCACAGGTGTCTCTGGTGCTAGTATAAAGTGGCCCCTTTGTGTTATATTTAGCACCTCAGTTTACATGCTGTGTTCTTACCTTTAGTACTTTAGTTTTCAGTTTATCAGTTTCCTGTGAGACAAAAAACTAAAAGTGTCCAATATTCTTGGTCTTGTGCTATACATCACTGATTCTTAACCTTCGTTACTCAGATGTTTTTGGACTGCAACTCCCAGAAGCCTTCACCATCAGCTCTGCTGGCTGGGGGTTTTGGGAGTTGCAGTTCAAAAACACCTGAGTAACAAAGGTTAAGAACCACTGCTATAGATAGACTGACAAGTTCTGTCACATATTAAGGAAACAAATCCTAGTTTGCCACCAAGTGTTCATCACGGGGAATGGCAGCCAATCACAGCCTCCCCTGAGTACCATTTGTTGTTAATGTGGTGTAAAATCACTAGTCTCAACAACCTTGCTCAGGTCTTATAAATATTGAGTCAACCCATCTCATATTTGGTCTTCCTTTATTCCTACCGCTTCCCACTTTAACCATAACCAACAGTTGTTTCAAATTCTTACTGTTTTCCACCTGTTAAATTATTGATGTTTCGTCCACCAACTCCATTATCTGAATCTAATCCAAATTTTCATGTAACGTGTTCTGCATATCAAATAAACAATAAAAAGCAAAGCAAAGCGTGCTGCTTATATACCGCCCCATAATGCTTCAAGCACTCTCTGGGGAGTTTACAAGTTAATTATGCAGGCTACACATTGCCCCCCCCCCCAGCAAGTTGGGTACTCATTTTACTGACCTCGGAAAGATAGAATGCTGAGTCAACCTTGAGCCGCTACCTGGGATTGAACCCCAGGTCATGAGCACAGTTTTGGCTGCAGTAAGATAATAAAATGCATTCGTCTCACAAATTTGTCAGCTAGACACCGTTCTGTTTCTACATATTGTGTCTATATATTGCAACTGTTATGACACAATATATAGAAACAGAATGGTGTCTAGATGGCAAATTTGTCCAGAGTACAGATTCTGCATTGGGACAATCAAATACAGTATTGTGGGACATTTATTTTCATATATTCTGTAGCTACTCATGATCCACACAGACAAAGTCTTTATTGTAGTCTATACAAAGCATAGACCGATCTTCTGAAATACTTTAGCATCCTCTAGTAGCCAAAATAGATTTGCAATATGATCTTTAGGGACAAACACCTTACTAAATCTGTCTTGAACATCTGGCATTTATCTCTCTATCTGGTGATAAAATATTTCTCCCCCTTTTCCCTTCCCCTTTCCTGCTGTGGCTTTTCTCTGTATATGTGTGTTCATTTGTTCAAAAACATTTATTCCTGTGGGAAGGCTGAAGCCCCAATCTTCCATTTTACCCAAAAGTAATCCCTATTCACATCAATGAGACTCATTAGTTTCATGAGGTAATTGCCACCAAATACGTTAATAGGAGCTTATTAAAAGTAACATCTTGTAACATCTCAGGCATCACTTTGCTAACATAGGAAAAACAATGTGAAAATCCTACTGTTATTGATATCGCCTTTGTTTACAATTGGAATATATTTTGAACATTTCCAGTTTGTTAGCCAGTTTTGTTCTCTGTATTTAGTAGCATATTTTTATTAGCATTTTCACAGATTCAAATAGTTCTACTGCTTTCCATTTACTCTTGGTGATTTACTTCTTCTAACTGCTTAGGAGCAGGTTTCACTTCAATATCTAAATGTCTAGAATTGTAGGCTCTACATCAAGGCTTCTTCTTCAGAGTAAACTGGCATTATTCCATTTCTTCTGTATCACATTTCAGTGTATTGTGTCCACCTTCTTTTTATTCTATCCTATTGATTTAGTTTAAGTGCCCCTCTGGAATTTAATCCCACATGTAACAACATGGTCTGCAAAATGCCCTCTTGAGCTCAGTATCATTTACAAACAAATGTCAAGCAAGGGGGAATTTTAGC